TTACAGGCTGGTGTTGCTTTTCCATTACAGCCTGAGGCCTGTTGGGCCAGGAACCAAAATATTAGATCAGCATTTCTGTTCCCAGGAAAGAGAGTGTGGTTTGTGCCAAGTTCCTGAAAGGTTGGGGCTGAATTCATATTTTGGTAAGAACACATAGGAAATGTTCTTCCAGAGACAGAGATTTTCAGACCTTCTCACTAAGCCAAGTTGACAAATCATGGAAATAACAACAACTCCCATTAACCTGCTGCTTCTAGGAGACCCACACCGTGCCAGAAACTTAGAGTGCACCTTTGATATTTATCAAGATAACCTGTATCACTAAACACATCCCACGGATCAGAAATACTGATCCAGCCCAGGCAATGGACTTTCCAATGGCACTCGACCACTAGCAGAACAAAAATTGACCCAGGGCCACATTATTTCCAAGCCACATCTTGTCTCTCTACGCTACATTTCTTTCTCTAAGTAATCAGGTATCAAGGGAAACTTCCCAGCCTACTCTGGGAAAATCAAGGAACTCTCCATTTGCCTGCAGACTTGCCAGGACCTTTGGTTACCTGGAATGATCTTGGTAAACATCGTGGATCTCTTCAGTCAATGGTTCATCAGAAGGCACGAGGTGAGAGGGGAGAGATGACCAAACAAGTGGCTGAAAGCCACTGACTTTCCGAGGCTCAGGACAGACCAGCATTGTCAGGAGTGGAACCCAAAGGGTTCTGGAGCATTGATGATTTCTCCTGGGACCTGAAAGAGCCCTTAATGCATCCTAGCTGGAAGAAGTTTGAGACACATGTCCACCGAGGACAAGCCACCTGCAGCTCAACAAAGGATGAGGTCCCCATGCATGTCCTTGCCTGAGGATATGCCAAGGATTCAACACAGACCACAGGAGAACACAAGGGGAAATGCGTGTCTTAATCCCTCAGTTCTCAAAGCATTAGAAAGATTCATGCATTTGTGTGGTGGTACCCATGTATCCTTTATGTATCCTGGGACTTCATTCCATGGATCAGAAACACTGCCCAGCCCAGTAAATGGACTTCACCACTAGCAGAACCAAAATTGGCCCAGGGCCACCTGATTTCAATAGTAGCTGCTGAATGAGTGTTGATCCAGCAAAAAAAAAAGGACCATTATATGAATCAAACTTAGTAACCAGCCGGGGGATCAGGGGCTGGCTGCCTCAATGTGAAGTAACAACAGCAGCTACCTAGCTTGGAAGGTTGGTTATTGAATTAGTTAGGGTTATCTACAGGAGCAGAGTCCATATAAAAGTCACATATAATTATACAAAGATCAGAGGCAGAAAGTCCAAAATGGCCGCCCGCACAGAGCTGAGCAGGATGACCCGGAAGCAGTTGGAGGTTGAAGGCCTGAATGCTTACTGGAGAGTCACTGGTGAGTCTGTCCTGGAAGCCTGAAGAGTGTGTTAGAAGGCTAAAAGGACCAGGAAACCAGTGACCAAAGGCAGTAGTGAAGATCCACCTCCTCCAAAAAATAGAAGCACTTCCTCCTCCTTTTCTTATTTTAGTCTTTCCAGGTCATAAGCCTATTGGTTGGTGCCACCCACATCCGGGGTGGGTTTTCTCCCTTCAATTTGCTGGCCTCCATGTCAATCACCCACAGACACACCCAGAACTTTACTAATCTGCTAGGGGCTTCCTACTCAGGTGGGCATACCACAATTAACCATTACATTTACATTTTAAATACTGTTTTTTAAATACTTCGCATGCATTTGCACATTTCATACAACCCTGAAGTAAACATTAGTGTGGAACCTACTTTGTAGTTGAAAAGCCTGTCGCTTCCCTTGGTACATGAGGTGACCTGGCCAAGGTCTCACAGCTATAAAGGAACAGAACTCACTAAGATTTGCACTCACAGATGTCAACAGCTCGAGCTTCTGCCACTTTGGTTTGCATTTAGGTGGCTTGGCTGGATGGGCTTTGACAAAAGTCTCTGAATTGTCACCAATACCCAGAAAAGTCTGCACTCCGTAAGCACTCTACGGTGGCCCAAGATGGTCAAGAAACCTCGATGGCTACCAAAGCATACACAATGTGGCTGTTGCGACTTCTGCTGCTGCCTGTGGGCTGCTCCTCCATCCCAAGGCTTCCGGCCAAGTTCAGGCTGAGCCTTGAGTTTTTTGCAGGACACAGGGCAGGGGACTCAGACACAGATTTTGCCTTTTGGAAAAGTCAGCCAGTGGCTTCCCTACTGGCCTTTTGAAAGAGTCATCCCAATTATTTCCTGGCTGTTTTGGAGATTTCCCGGTGCCGTTAGTTGTCAGCAGTTTCACTGTGATCTGCTGAAGTGTGGTTGCTTTTGTGTTGGCCTCACAGAGCATCGCAGATGTGTGTGTAAATGTCCTCAGCTTTGGAAAAATCACACAGTTTCCTCACGCGTCAGCCTTCCTCGTTCTTTCCCGTCTCTGCTCTGGTATCCCAGTGTGTGCGTGTGTGTGCGTGTGCGTGTGCGTGTGCGTGTGCGTGTGCGTGTGTGTGTGTGTGTGTGTGTGTGTGCGTGTGTGTGTTCCTGCTTCTCCACGCTCCTGGGCGGTGCCCATCAGTGTTCCTTACGCCGCCGTCCTGCGTGCTCGCCTGGGCTCATCTGTCTCAGTCCGCTGAACCAGAGCGTTTGCCCAGTGCAGCGATCCACAGCTACTCAGGGCCTCGGCTGGACAATGCCAAGTTCAAGGCCAGCCTGGGCAACTCAGTGAGACTCTGTCCTGAATTTTTTAAATTCCTAAATAACTCAGCGACAGAGCACTTGTGTGGCACTTGGGTTTCATTCTCAGCAGGAAAGAAAGAAAGAAAGAGAGGAAGATAGAAATGAGGGAGGGAGGAAAACTGAGAGAGAGAGGAAAGAGAGAAAAAGGAAATGAAAAAGAAAAGAGGAAGGAGGAAGGAAGGAAGGGAAACAGGCCTAACATGTCCCTTTGATGCTTTTATAGAAGTAGATTTTAGTTTCTTTTAAAACTCTGCTGTAACTTTAAAATTACACCTGTAATTCCCGCACACAGAAGGCTGAGGCAGGAGGATCACCCCAAATTCAAGGCCAGGCTGAGTTCTAGGCCAGCCTGGACTACAGAGCAAGACACAGCTTTAAAAAAACAAACAAATACACATTTAAAAAAAAAAAAAAGTTCTACATCTTTTCAGGTGGTGAGAATGAGACAGGGTATGGACCGAGGGCTGAGTTCCCTGGGTCTCCTCTTCCTTGTGAAAGCTGACATTCCTGCCTGGGGTGGATCCCGGGCTGTTGACCATCAGGCTCAGCACCCAGGCTTGCATCTGTCTGCGCCCCCAGAGTCACAGTGGCTGGGGACTCGCGTACCATCTCCCCTCTCCGAAGTGCGACTTTCTCCCATGTCTGTGGATGTCTCGCTCTCAGCATGCACAACTCGGAGTCAGTGCCTCTTGAGCGATGCTGCGCCCACGCTGCCTCCTCTGCACAACGTGGCTGCTGAGCACCAGCCAAGCCAGAAGCCCCTCGGCAGCCTGTCACTCCCCAGCCCCGGATCTTCTTTTACGGGTCACAGATTAACCGGAGTCTCCAGAGAAGAGGGTGGAATCCATGCAAAGAACCTTCAGTATGCTTCCTCTGCCTCCAAATTCTGCCTGTGTCACTGAATAAAATCATTTCATGGATTTTTCCAGTTTTATCAGCCTTTGCTAGAAGGTCTGCTTTAATGCAAACTGCACGGGCACTGACTTTCGTGGGGAAATCCTTCCGCGTCCATAGGGGTTCAAAACAACCCCTACACCACAGTGGTTATATGACCAAACTCCAGAGCTGGGGTGCCTGGGCTCAGTCCCCCTCTGACATCTTTTGCTCTGAATTTCAGATTAATCCCTGCATTTCTCTGCACTTTGGTTTTTCTCATTTTTGGAATTGGAGGAGAGCCAGGCATGGTGGCACATCCTGTAATCCCAGCACTCAGGAGGCTGAGGCAAGAGGATCGCCTTGAGTTCAAGACCAGCCTGAGCTACATAACAAGACTCTGTCAGGAAGAAGGAAGAAAAAAGAAAGATAGAAAAAGGGAAAACTGGGCCTGGGGATGCACACCCATAATCTCAGCTACACGGGAAGCTAAGGCAGGAGGATCGCAAGTTCAAGGCAAACTTGGGCAACTTAGAGATTTAGTGAGACTCTGCCAAACTAAAAAGAAAAACAAAGAAAGGGCTGAGGATGTAGCTCAGTGGGAAGACCCTGGGCTCAGTTCCAACAAGAAGGAAGACAGAAAGAGAGAGAGAGAGGAAGAGGGCCGGGGGGAAGGGAGGAGGAAAGAGGAGAGAAAAATAGTTCGTATCTCACAGAGCTGTGGAAGTTTAAAAAAAAAAAGCAAAGTAAACCCTCAGAGCATTGTGTGATGTGTGACATTCACAGGAGTGTTTTCTTATTATTTATTTAACATACAAAAACCAGGACCCTAGTGGACGCGTGGTACAACAGAGAGGCCTGAACCTCAGGGCTCCTAACTTCCGGCCCGAACACAGAGCAAATCCTGGCTGGGATAACTGATGTCAGGACAGTGATGCTTCAGTGCGCCTACAGTGTCACTGACAGGAGATAATGGAGCCTCCGCTGCATCTCTGATCTAGAACACATCGGAATGGGAAGCGGGTGCCCCAGATATGGAAGAAAGGAGAAGTCTAAGGAACAGGATGGGGCCCGGGGGAGGCCCCTGCCTCCGCCCAGTGACTGCACCCCTGCACCCCTGTCCTCTCATGGGCTCAGCCTGCCCTGGCGAAGCGCTCGTGTCCCCCGGGAGGTGTCTGCTAAGCCCCACTCGGCCACCCTCCGTCCGGCTGGCTCCTGCGGCTACCGCCAGGGACCAGGAGGCCTCCTGGCCAGAAGCTCAGCGCCTGCCAGCGCGACCCTGGCACCGCTCTGGGCTCGAGCCATGGCCCTGGGAAAATGATGGACCTCCTCATCTCCCGCTGCCAGGACGGAGACAATAAAACCCACTTCCCAGGGAGCCGCGCGAATTAATTACTTGAACGTTTATTAAGTGCTTTGAAGATGAATGTGTGAAGTGTTCACTTTTTCCCTTCCTTGCCCTCGGGTTTTCCTAAGCAGGACGAGGAGTCGGAAGCAGCCAAGTCCAGAGCTCGCATGGAAAGTTCAGGGCATCTCCCCGGGGCGCCAGGCACATCATTAACGCTCTCTGGAGTTTCAGCCTGTGCAGCCCGGAGATACAATGAGCTGTAGAAACTCACGGAGGGAAGAGTCCTCCCGGGCAGGCTGGAAACTCACACCGAGCCGCTTTCCTGCTTTTCTTCACGTATGCGGCGGGTGCATAGCTCGCTGGGGACTCTTCCGTGTGCCGGGGATTCCTCTGCAGGCAGAAGTATGGCGGTAAACAACCCAGCAAAAATGCCTCCACGATAGTACTGATAATCTGCCGAGAGGGTAAAGGAGGTTCACTGCAAACAAGAAAGACTGGATTGGTGCACACGCGCACACATGCACACACACACACATTTGCAAGATGGTAAAAGTGACAAGAAGGAAGCCAATCAGGGAAGACAGAAACGGCGAGGATGGTGGGCAGACTCTCCTCTGCTGCGGGACGGTCAGCGAAACCTGGGAGGGAGGAGGCAGGCGAGCACACGGAGAGCTGTCTAGGAGAAGGGCCACCGTGTGCAAGGCAGTGAGGCCGGAGAGTACCAGAGAGGAGGGAAGCAGGAGCCAGCGGAGGTGAGGGAGGGGTCACGGTGGGGAGGGAAGGGCGGGCACAGGAAGCCCTGCGGGTCACCAGGACTTTGCCTTCATCTGAGTGTCACAGAACCCTACTGGAGGTGAATGTCTGGGTGGATGGGCGGGCAGATGGGTGTTTAGAGTGGATGGATGGATGGATGGGTAGATGGGTGGATGAATAGATGGGTGGATGGATGGATGGGAGGATGGATGGATGGATGGATGGGTGGGTGGGTGGATGAATGGATGGGTGGGTGAATGGATGGATGGTTGATAGATGGGTGGATGGATGGATGGACGGGTGGAGGGATGGATGGGTGGATGGATGGATGGACAGGTGGAGGGATGGATGGGTGGATGGATGGAGGGGTGGAGGGATGGATGGATGGATGGATGGATGGATGGATGGATGGATAGATGAATAGATGGATGCATGGAGGCATGGATGGATGGATAGATGGGTGGATGGATGGATGGCTGGATAGGTGGATGAATGGATGAGTGGGTGGATGAATAGATGGATGGATGAATGGATGGATGGATGAATGGATGGATAGATGGATGGATGGGTGGATAGGTGGATGAATGGATGAGTGGGTGGATGAATAGATGGATGGATGGATGAATGGATGGATGGATGGGTGGATGGATAGAGAGATGGGTGGATGGATGGATAGTTGGATAGATGGGTGGATGCATGGATACATAAATGAATGGATGGGTGGGTGAATACTCAGATGAGTGGGTGAATGGATGGGAAGATGGATGGATGGAGAAATGAATGAGTGGGTTGGTGGATGGGTGGATATTCAGATGAATGGGTAAGTGGTGGGTGGATGGATGGATATTTAGATAAATGGATACAAGCAGTCTTCTTAGTTGGAACCAACTGACTAACAGAGGGATCAAAATACATTTGGGATTCTGGGTATCTCACAGAATATACGAGAAATACCTGGCTGGAGTACACGGTTTCATAACACTGTCGCGCTGCTGCCTCTGGATTGACGCCGGGTCCACTCTCCACCTTCCCTGCCCCACTCCGGGCCCAGAAGCTGACCTGAGTGGCCTTGTGCAGTGTTTTCTCTGGTGCTGGCAGGAGATCAGAGGGAGGGAGGAGCATGTTGACAGGGTGTTTATGCCCCCAGTCCACTCCATGCCAGGTCACCTAAGTCAATCCTGTTCCCCTAACAAATGCCACAGCTGCTCTCTCCCAGCTCTCACCACCCAGGTCCAGGGGCGGGGCTAGTTCCAGCCTCATAGTCCTGCGCCATTCCCGTCCCCACACGGCCCACACTTGTGTTAATCGCTTCTGCTTAAAACTGTCAAATGCCCAGGTGGGCAGACAGCCTTGGTGTCTGGCTGTGTCCTGCTCCTGTTGGTTCCGTCACTTTGGAAGCGCCTCGTGCCTGGCGAGCGCCAGTTCTATTAGCACGGCAGGGAAGTGGCAGAGGAGTGAATGCGTGAATAGCCAGGTGGACATTCAGAGGGACACGTGGGTGGGGAGGGCAGGCTGGCGGGTGGCACTGAGTGAGCAGAAGTCTAAGTTGCAACCAACTGACTCTAATAGCGGAAAAAATATATAAATGGCACCTGGCAGTTCATGCAATTGTCAAGGACGATGCCAGGCATAAAACAAGAGAGGGCAGGCATCGGGGGCAGCAGTGTACCAACGGCAACTACCCAGTGAGGATGCGCAGCGGTGATGTTGGAATTTCCCTCAGTGCTGCACAGATATATTCAGGGGAGTTTAATTAAGTGGTTTTGGGAGCAAACAGCCCTTTGAAGCATATACAACGCTATTCCAGGGCTGGTCTCTTCCCCCAGCAAGCTTTCTTACTGGTGCAACCTAGAGATAAAGACCCGAGAAATGCAGGCCTTTGAGATCAAATCAACCTGGCAAGGTGGAGTTTCCAAAAATTAACATCAATTAAATCAGTGTCTGGGGCAAGAGAAATGTCGGGGATCAATATCGCAATCTTATCAGCCCTCTCTTAGACACATATATTAAGCATTAGCATATTAAAGCCCCCCAAAAGCCCTGCAGGCAAAACATTTAAAAAAAAAAAAAGTTGAGTTGACTTTTTTCTAATTGCAAATGTATCCACCCTGACATCGTTTGTCATATAACAGCCGGGTAGCGTGAGTGGCCTGGTAACGAGACGTAGTTATCAGATGCTGGAAGAATATGAGAATGTGGTGGGGTGGAGGCCTAGGATGGCTCGCCCTCACAGGGGGGCTGGGTGTAGAACCCCCCAAGGTGTGGGGGTGATAAAGAGGCTCCTTGGCGATGTAAAAGGAGACACCAAGCGATGCTGGGAAGCGGAGTTGGAGCACCACTGTCTTTCCTCCGGGGGCCTGAGTACAAGCAGAATCAGGGGCAGGTCTTGGGGGACAAGTGGGACTCCCCAAGTCCAATCTCATTCCCTGGGGTAAAAGCGGGCCACAGATACAGCTCCGAGGAGATCAGCCTAACCGCTCAGACACAAGACCTCAGCCTGCTCATGCGAGGAGGTGGCTCAGACTCACTCGGAGCACCCCAGAATCAGAGTCCCAGTGACTGCACAGGTCCACCCCAGCTGGGATGAAGAGCGGTTAAACTCAGCTGCACTCAGGATCATGGTGCCTGGTGTTCTCTAGAGCCTGTAATACACAGGTGACCTTTGCCCATCATCGGGGGACCTGGAGGGCTCACTCTTTCCCTGTGTGTGTGAGGATAAACAGCCCACTGGACGCACCGTAGAAAACCGACGATAATCCAGGTCTCTCATTGCACAGATTGGGCAAACCGAGGCCCAGAGAAGGAAGAATGCAAAGCTGGCTCTGTCCACACATCCAGGGCAGGAGCCAGGCCATGTCCTCCTCCCACTATTCGGTGCAGCAAGAAGGCCTTTGCTAAGCGGCCTTGGATCCCAGCTCCAGGAAAGAAGCATAGAGATATGAACTCCATTTGCCATTGGGTGCCTCACAGTTGCCAAAACCTCCAAAAACAATAAACCTTTTTGGAGAGAATGGAATTAGGTTTCCAGCTGTTGTTCAGCCTCCAGGGTGGGCAGGAGAGCTGTGAGCCGGGAGGATGGATCAGGACTCCCTGCAGCTGCAGGGCCCGGCCTGGTTTGTCACAGGGCGGCTCTGACCTCTGCTCTCCAGCTTCGTGCTCAGTGCCACCGCCTTTAGAACACATCCGCTTCCATCCCTGTCACCCTGCCACAGCACTCTAGGCTGACCATGTCACTCCACGCCGCCTCTAGGGCAAAGCCGATTCCTCACCAGAGTGTGTGCAGGCAGAGGTTCCAAGCCACATCCCCCTGCCCAGCTCCAGGCCCCGCCCGCTCCTCTGGATCTCCCTCTAGAACCTTTGCACTGAGCTCCATCTCAGCCCCGTTTTTATCTGTGACAGAGTCTCCTTAAGTCACTGAGCTGTCCATGCTGGGCTGGAATGTTCGATGCTCCTGCCTCAGCCTCCCACAGGGCGAGGGTGACAGGTGTGCACCACCAGGTCCAGCCCTCCATGCGTTGGGCCCTGCCTTCACCTGGAGCACCCTCACCCCAGGTCCATCTCTCAGGCTTTCTCTTCCCTTCAGTCTCCTGGTCAGTGAGTTCTCGGGGCAGAACGTTGGGCGTGGCTCTGGCAGGGTCTGCACGGTCCCTTAGCTCCTGTGGAACCACAAGTCCTCCTCCAGGGCAGAGAATATCAAGGTTAATAAGGTGACTGATGGGCCGCAGGCCGGGTGGGTGAAGGCCGAGGATAGTTATTAAGCTCCACCTGATGCCGGATGAAAGGTGGCTTCGGACAGAGGCCTGTGATTAGGGCTCAGCTGGGTCAGGGCCCGGCTGCAGGCAGTGGCTGGAGAAGCCTGGGCTCCCTCTCCATGAAAGTGCAGCCTCACGGCAGGCTGCGACTCCTCGGCGCTGTCTTTGGTCCTCCAATTGCCACCCTGCCTGGCCTTCAGCGAGCAATGGCTCGTAAAACACCCGTGCTGTGCCCCTGAGAACTCCCAAGGTTATACCCCCAAGATTCCTCAGCAGACCTCGGGCACCAACTATGCCTCACGCGCACCTGCGGTGTCTGATCCACTGTGGTGCAACGCCTGGCATGCAGCATTGGCCACCCCCACACGGGGAAACTGAGGCCCAGGGGGTAAGGTAATGGCCTAGGGGGAGCCAGGGCCAGGACTCAGTCCCAGGCTCCTGACCCCCGGGGCTCTTCCCCCCACACTGCACGCCCCAGCGAGGATTTCAGGCAGCAACCCAGGGAAAGAAGAAAACCAGCACTCAGGAACCTTGGTCTGGTCCTCCCTTCCTTCCACTACAGGATTCACCCCCACCAAAGGATCCAGCCAGAGGATCCCCCCGCCAATGGATTCACCCCCCACCAAAGGATCCAGCCAGGGGACCCTCCCGCCAGTCGACTCTCGACCATGGCTGCAAGGACCTTCTGGATTCCATGAGCTGTAGAGGCGGAGCATCTTTCCCAAGGTGACAGCATAGTAGGCTTTTCCCAGCTCTCAGAGGGGCGGCATCACTAGAACATTCAAGGCCTGAACAGAAGGGATGTGTGTGTGTGTGTGTGTGTGTGTGTGTGTGTGTGTTTCCTTACACAGACGCAGGAAAGGCTGGGGGTTTTGATTGTTCTCAACCAGGAACCTACCCATCACCTGTCCAAAGGCCACCAATCTATTTTACCGTAACAGCCGTGCT